CCACACCATTCTCTCCGGCTAGAAATTCCGGTGAACCACCACCACCACAACAATGGTTACTAATTTTACATAGCTGAAATATTAGTAATTTAATCACAATTATTACACACATATAACTAATTTTATATTTTATATACATCTTATATTACACAATTTACATTGTGTGTCTTCATCTCCCTTAACTGGAGTACCACCCCTCTCCATAGTCCCCTCTTTCTCCAAATCAAGACCACCACTCTCTCTCTCTCCAAATCAAGTACTATGTAAAATAAACCACATATACAAAACAAAAAATGAGTAAACTGAATACAAACACAAATTGAGTCTCAATTTCAGACCTACAACGAACGACGCTACCACCGCCTGCACGATAGGCGAACTAAGTTCCTATCAATGGATCGGATTCGGATCGGATCGATCAAATCCATATCCTATTTGTTAAGCAAACGGATTATTGGATTCGGATCACTAACGGGTTCTTGGACTAAATGTCCCAATCCATATCCTATTTAGTTCGGACTCGGATCAGATTTGAAATTGGATTAAATTAATATTTACTAATATATATAATTATAAAGAGTATGATTTTATTAGTATGTGTACTAAAAGATTTATTAGCATGTGGATGAGAACACCACAATATTTATATATAACATTATTATTATTTTGGATTTTTGGGTTACCTCTAATACAATTATAATAGGAGTATTGATATATATATATATATGTGTAAAATTATTTATATATATAATTTCAATCGGATCGAATCGGATTTTTATCAGATCGGATCAGTATAATCCATATCCGATTTGTTAAGCTAACGGATTATCGGATTCGGATCGTAACCGAGTTATCAGATTTTTTGTTCAATCCATATCCGACTAATTAGATCGGATCCGGATGAGGATCCGCTCCATTGACAGGTTTAGAACTAACCTCCACCATCCCCTTCGGCCAAAGCAAGATCATCAAGGTCTCTCTCAACACTATCAATGATGACAAAACCCACCAAAATAATGCTACCTCCAAAACCCACATCAGCGATAACCCACCACCATATGGGTCCTGTTCAGATATGACCCAAACGGCGACCATGCCAACCCACCACCATATGCAATTTGTCCACACCCCCGTCGCTACCCTTAAACTCCACTCGCGAAATTGCCAAGCAAGTTACCGATTCCAAACCGGTTCTTGCCTTCATACAAAAATACATACAAATATATATATATATATATATATATATATATATATATATATATATATATATATATTGGAAGCTACCCATGCGTTTTGTTGAGATTTTTGGGTTTTGATTAATGATCCTTCTTGTCCTTAAGAACTCCTTATTGTTCAAATTCTCTTGTAATTGGAAGCTACCGATGCGTTTTGTTGTGATTTTTGGGTTCTGATTAGAGATCCTTCCAGTCCCTCAGAATTTCTTATTGTTCAAATTCTCTTATATATATATAAGTGAGAAAATAATAAAGAGAGAACTGAGAGAGATTTGTAAAGAGAGAAATAGATACGAATGAGAGAGAATGTGTAAATGTTGTTGAGAGATAAAAAATAGATTTTGTAAAAAATAAAGGCATCCAAACATGTACAACTCTGTGAGGGGTATTACGGTCTTTTAAAAACGGTATTTTGGGGGTTTAAGAGTATTTTTTGTCAAAATTGGTCATAGGGGGTAATTTACTCCAAATGTTGATAATATAGGGAGTTATTTGCACTTTTTTTTTCTAGTAAGGGTGTTTCTTGCACATTTTTTGTATAACGAGGGTTTTTTTTGCACTTAACCCTTATTATTATTATTATTATTATTTTTTCTAATCTCAAGACCGATCAATCGTGCAGTTCATATGCGAGAGCGCACCGCAGTTGTTGCAAGCGCGTTCTCGCAATAGCATTACCCAATATATATGTGTGTGTGTGTGTGTGTGTATATATATATATATATTAAAGACCAATTAATATACAACACTTCACATATATAGATACATATATATCAAAGATTTGGAAGGTGAAAAATAAAAAATATTAGAAGTTTTTTTAAATTTTAGGTTATATATATATGTATTAAAGATCAATTAGGATATAATATATATAAAAGATTTGGAAGGTAAAGAATATAAAATATTGGAAGTTTTTTTAAATTTTGGGTTATGGGTTGGGTTCGGATTGAGCCCGAGCTCAACTTGAATATTCCTGACATGCCTGGGTTTTGAGAAATCCCAACCTAATTTGAGTCCGATTTGTGAATTTAAAAGATGAAATTTTAAAATTTCTGGGCTGGGTTTGGGGTGGGCTGGGTTAGCCCGCCCAAGTTGCACCCTAGTTGTAGTAGTCAAGGGTTAGCCTTGTTTCTGTTATTAGAGAAAGCAATGTGAGAGGAGGAGGAGGAGGAGGAAAGGAAATGCCATGGTTGGTGAGAAGAGAAGAATTGTCGGAGGAGGGAAAGGGAAGAGATCTTTTGATTGATTCTCGTCATGGAAGAGAGAGAGAGAGAGAGAGAGAGAGTAGAGATATCGATGAATTGAGAGGTGCATGAGTTGTGAGAGTGTACAGATTTTCATGCAATAAACGTCAAATGTGTGTGGCCAAGGAATTTGGACCCAGGCTTTAGCTCCTTTCTATTCAATTCCTCACCTTACATTTCACATAAAGCTAGTACTAGCAAACTTGACATGCCAATTTAAAAGAAGAAACTAAAATCTTAATGATATTTCTTGGAAATAAATGATACAAGCCTCGACTTCCAAAATCTTAAATTACCTAATAATTTTTAGTCTTATTTTGACTTTTAAATTGAAAAGTGTTAAATATACAATCTTGCCATTTTATTTTATTTTACTTTGTATCCAAGGAGGCTGAGCCTCGCAGGTCTAGTGTGGGTGTTGCTTTCACTTTTTCCAAGTACGAATTTCTCATGAGGCATTAAAGAAAGCAAAAACATTTGACAGGAGGGTTGAAAATAGAGCTTACAAAAATTTCTGTTAGCATCTACGTTCTCCTCTCATCGACAAGATAAATTTAATTTCTGAGAATTTTTTTTGATAAATACCCTATGCATATGGGATAGGAGGAGTGCATATACCCGACGATGATGAATTATGAAATGTTTTAAGAGGTTCGACATCACCATCCACCTTTCATCCAAACAGACATATTTGTACTTTTAATATTTTGTTATCTGTGCTATCAACTAATTGTATCATGTCAGATCAATAAAAGTGTTTTATTTTAGTGGATCCTATCATTACGTGTTATGTGTCATTAACTAATTGTATCATATCACATAAGTAAAATTATTTTACTTTAGTAAATCTTATCGGTACGTGTTATTTGTACCATCAATTAAATCGTGTTACATTAGTAAATTTTTTTTATTTTAATAGATTCTATCATTACGAGTCAATATTTAATCGAGTTGTGATATTACGTGACTGGGGGCAATAAAGTTGACATTTTGAAAGAGACCCCAAACAATATAGGCAGCTGTCCATTCTTGACATTTTGAAACAGTGATGATGCAACTTTTGAGATATTTTCAATATTAAAAGATAAGAAAACGTGAGGTTATTGAGATCCACAACTTCTTAGCGGACATTGTTTTTGAATTTTCCGAAAAAATAATTGTTGGATTGTTGTCGATGAAATGTTGTATCGTCAGATAAATAAGTGAAATGCTTTAAACATGTGATATTTGTTGTCCACCTACATTGCAGATGCAAAAATATTATATCCAGAGTTGAAAAAAATATTATTGTATTGTAGAATCTTGACGTAATTTATTATAATAGAATTTAACATGCATGAATTGGATAAATTACAAATCAAAAATATTCTTAAGTTTCAAGTCCAGAGGACCAGAGAGGGGAGAAAAGTATTAGGTAGTGAAATCACAATTTAACATATAATAAAAAAATAAAATTGATACATTTTGTCAAACATTTTTTTCGAGTGCCAAGACAGTAAAAATGATGTAAAGGTTTTGGGAGGTGGTACGTGAATATGACCTCCCAACCAATGTGAAATTATTCGTGGCATGGTTTCATCCTATTATTATATTAGTACAACATCTAGAATAACTCAGAGTCGGATTTTATTGACAATTTTACTTTATTTACATATGTAATCATCTTATTTTAATTATCTAAATATTTAATAGAAAGGGTTACCTTTTCCTTTTTATAAATATAAATATTTATACCTTCTTGTCCCATAAAAATAGTCCCTTGGGGGAGGAGAACTCTTGAAGAATCAGGACCTACTGCGGGGGCAATTATCCCCACTAATTAATAATAATAATAATAATAATAATAATAATATACCTATTATTTTCCTTTTTTTGTATCAAATATTAAATTTCAAATTTGTCTCCTTTGTAATTATAAAAAAATTTCACTATTGCCCCCACAATACTCTTTATCTTCTTGTTATTAAAAGGCCATTCTTTTACATAATTTTTTTTGGGTCGGTCCTATATGCAATTCAAAAGTACTATGTTACCCTTTTAAGTTTGAATGAATACATTATAAAGTTGGAAAATTTTGTAAATTTAAAGAGGTATTGATAAAAAAAAATGCATTTTTCTATCATTGACTTTTTAAATGGAATAATTATTTTGGGACAGTCAAAAACAGAATGGCGGACAATTAAATTGAGACGAAGAGAGTTTGCCTCGCAACATAAGAAAAACGAAGAAATTCAATTTATATGAATAGGATGATAGACCCCATCATATAATGTCATCACGTGACACTACCCATTTTATATATAATATTGATCTGTAAATTAACTATTATATCTATTTTGATTAGTCTGGCAAATCATTATGACATAATTTTAATGTCATTTTCATTCACTCAATTGTATCACTCCTCGTTTTCCAATCATGAAGCAAGCATTAATAGAAGAGTCCTAGATGATCACTCAACAAACCAAAATGAATGGTGTCCCCAATCCTCACTCCACATGCATTTGTAATTGCTCCCATTATTCAATTTTCATCACATGTCGCCATGCTTTCACAGCCAATCACACTATTCCAATCCTGTTGTCTTCTTCTCCACCATACATAAATTAGCCAACTATACAGGAAATCCTTTAAATGCAACTTATATAACGTGGTATTCAAGACACAAAAATTTCTCACTAAAATCATACTACTACTTGATAAAATAGATTCATATTTATTGTACTTGCTATATATATATATATATATATATATATATATATATAACCATTGTGTCATATTTTTCAGCTCAGAAATGGACTTTTTCCAAGTTATCCTCCTAATGCCCTCCCTCATATCCCTCTGCTATTGTTTAAACTCAGAAAGTTCTTTCCATGAAAACTACTTGTTGAATTCTTCTACAAAAGATTACCAAAAGTCATCATTTTTTGAACAAATAGTTAGGGTGGCTAATGATGAAAACAAGGCGAATTGGATGAAGAAGATAAGGAGAAAAATTCACAAGAATCCAGAACTTGCTTACGAAGAAGTCGCGACCAGCGAACTCATTAGAGATGAGCTTGACCAGATGGGCGTTGGGTATCGGTGGCCGGTGGCACAGACCGGCGTGGTAGCAACCATTGGGACTGGTTCTCCACCCTTTGTTGCCCTAAGAGCAGATATGGATGCCTTGCCTATTCAGGTCAGTATCATACACATTGATGTTTTTGGAAAAAAGGGCTTTGGTGTGTGTGTGTGTGTGTGATATTTTGAGTTAATGACATAATGTGCTCTCTGAAAGTTCAGCATAAGATTATTTATCCCACCATTAGTTTGATGAGAAGAATTGTTTATTTCTTTCAACAATAGTCTGACTCTGATTAGAAGAATTGTGCCTTTGAAGCGGAGCAACAACTCTTTTCATCACTTAAATAAAGGCAAAAGGGAAAAAGAAACCCTTTAATCATTTAAGACATAAATGGAAAATCTCAATTTTTTTTTTCCCTTAAATTGTACCTAGCTTTGAAAAAAAAAAATTCTGTTTAAATAAGTAGTAAGCAATAAAAGTATTTATTTCTCTTTTATTCTCTATGATATTTTGTCATTCTGATTTAAAAAGGTTCATAATAGAAACTACTTTGTCATTCTTTTTTGCTTCTTGTTGACGAGGACTTTCTTGTTTGTGTTTTCTCAAGGAGAGAAACAAAAAAGACATAATAGATGTTTGAGGACACAAGTTGTAGTGCATATGTGGTTGTGGCCAGTTCTGTGGGGCCCAATCATGGAAGATGCAGGTGGTGGTGGGCTAGCAGGGGAAAGGAAGTGTGTCTCCCTAGAATGCTCTTTGTCCAACTAACCAAACAAAGAATATGTGGTCCTAAAGTAAGGTCACTTGTTTCCTTTGAGTTCATATGAAATAATGAATCTATATCTACCCGTAGTACACACACGAGAAAGTATGGGAAGACACGGTGAACCTAGTAGGATGGCAAAACATAGTGCTTCTTAGTAATTGCCAAGAAAATGAAAGAACATGGGATGACAAACTGGACTTTAGCACCTCCAATGCCAATCCCATGATGGTGTATCCATAAAGTTCCAATTTTTTTTTTTTTTTTTGGCTAATTGAATTTTAAGAAGAAATTAAAATTTAGATATGGTCGATCCTAGCATTATTGCCATAGTTCCCTTTTGTAGGAAATGGTGGAATGGGAGCACAAGAGCAAAGTAGACGGCAAAATGCATGCCTGCGGACATGATGCACATGTTGCAATGCTCCTTGGTGCTGCAAGAATTCTGCAAGAAATCCGAGAAAAACTAAAGGTAAATTGGGATTAGTAAAACATCATCAACATTACAACAATATTGACCCCTTCTTATATCTGTCTAAACTAAAGTCTGTCTAATTAATGTAGGGAACTGTTGTTCTTATATTTCAACCAGCCGAAGAACGAGGTGAAGGTGCAAAAGACATGATCCAAGAAGGGGTGCTCGAAAATGTAGAGGCCATCCTTGGAATCCATATAGTGCACCGGTATCCTTCTGGCATTGTTGCATCCCGGCCAGGAGAATTTCTAGCCGGTTGTGGGAGCTTCAAAGCGAAAATCAACGGGAAAGGGGGTCATGCAGCCATCCCCCAGGACACCATTGATCCAATTTTAGCAGTTTCGACATCAGTTATTAGCTTACAAAACATAATTTCGAGGGAGATAGATCCTCTGGATTCTCAGGTATTATCACGTTCAAACATGTATCTTATAAAGCTTGATCAAACCATCATCATCCTTGCCTTAATCCCATATGAATGGAGTCAATCACATGAATTCTCTCTCCAACTCGAGTGAGAATTCATCAAAATGTGAGAGTCTAAGAAATTATGTTACATGATGTTTTCACCATTAAATTTTAAATGAAATAATCATTCAAATTTCCCCTCAAGAGAATCTCTGGTCCCAAGAATTTCCCCTCACGAGAATCAAATTTGCAGGTCGTTTCTGTAGCTATGGTTCATGGAGGTGCAGCGTATAATGTCATTCCAGACTCGGCTACAATTGCTGGTACTTTTAGAGCTTTTGGCACAAGGAGCTTCTCTGAGCTGAGAGAGAGAATAGAGGAGGTAATTGAACAGTATAATACTTAACAATACTATATGACATGACTATCTTGGTTGATTTTTAACAGAATACTTTTTTCTTATTAATCAGTTCACTTGTGCTAAAATTTCAATAAAATCAAGGGGAACTAAGTTTATTTCTGCATATGTGTGCCAGGTTATTGGAGGGCAAGTAGCTGTGCATCGTTGCTCAGCTGAGATCGACTTCTCGGGGAAAGAACATCCCTCAATTCCACCAACTGTAAACGATAAAGGAATTTACGAACATGTAAGACGGGTTTCAAGTGAGATTGTAGGGGAAGAAAACACAAAATTAGCTCCTAGGTTTATGGGGAGCGAAGATTTTGCATTTTACTTACAGAAGGTACCTGGATCTTTGCTTTTCCTAGGCACAAGAAATGATAAGGTTGGAGCCCGATATCCACCCCATAGTCCTCATTATACTATCGACGAGGATGTGCTTCCTGTTGGTGCAGCAATATATGCTGCATTTGCTTATTCATATCTATCCAATCCATCAAAACAGACCGCCTGCTTATAGTTAATCTGTATACACTTTTTTGCCGTTAATCTTTTCTGGATCATTCTTTTGTGGTAATGCATTAGAAATGTCTTGCTTCTTGTGTAGTTTTTATTTTAAAATTTTTTTTTTTTAAGTATACGAGCTTTTATGTACATTTATTGTTATTATATTACTAAAATTAAATAGATTGAAATAAGTTAACCTTTTAACTAATTAAATAAATTGTTAAATAGAGCCATTAACCCACATCCACCCTAATCTGAAATCCCCCATCTTTTCTAACTCCTTTAACTTTATTATGAATAAATTGAATTTGTTATTGGTTATTTTTCTCTAATTTTGAATCAAATCGAAAGAAATAGACATTCATGAGATAGGGAAAGTCCTATCAATACTGGAAAGGGAACAGAGGAGGTAGATAGAGGTAAAGAAATACTTCCTATTCAATTTTAACAATCTAAATGTTCTCCCTTCCTAGGTTGGTTTCTATGAGCAGCCCTCTAGGGTATTTATAGCCATCTGCCTATTTTTTTTCTAGATTTTTCGACTTTATTGTCAAGATTTTACAAGGCAATGAATAATATCTCAAGATTTTCTCTCTTCTGAATTTTCTAGAATAGTGCATTTACTCTTTAGCACTCTTTCTTGATGCACTGTTCTGGATTAAAGTCATGCACTAAATTTATAGGACGAGAAACTCATGTGCTTAAATTTGGGGGAGTGACATATTTGCTCCGAAAATATGTAAATTTAATATTTAAGAGCATACCATAAATTTATGCCACAATCCATCAAAATTCGGTCAACAAACATCATGATGATAAATAAACAGTTTCAGCAAAACCTAAACAACTATCAAAGGTAAAATATATGAAGAGCAATATAACAAATTATTTTCCACATTATAAAATAATTTGTATGTGATAAGATAATAAACTTGCACCACTGAATCTCCTTTAAATTAATGGAACCTAGAGTGGGTTCATATGACAATTTAGTTTGACCAAAGTACCATTTTCATAACTCATCAAAATAAACAAGGATGTAAGCTGTTTAAGCTGCGGAAACTCACCTCCAACACAAATCCATACAAGCAAGGCGACGCATTTATCAAAGAATTGAGGAAAAGGATGCACTGGTCATTGAAAACCCGAACTTTTATTTCCAATTCCTTGAGATTACTAAATTTAGGGAAAAATCCCCCTCTGCATATGTTTATCCCAGTAATCTAAACAGTGGGGAAAAAAAATTCAGCGATTAGCAACCACTAATAACAAAAATTAAAAGAGAATAAACAAACACAGAAAAAAGTGAAGCATACTAACTTGACAATCCAGCTACAGTATAAGCTTTTCTAGTTGAGGGAGATAGAATGTAGGTTTTTTATATTCAGAAACTAAAATATCACAATAATGTCCCGGGATAGATACGTCAGCAAGCAAGAGAACTTTCTGAAAATACATGCTGATCTTTGGCCCAAAGTATTTAAATGACACGAGATTTATTGCTGAAATCTCAATATCTTTTAAATTGGATTTTTCCGCCAGTGGGAAAGGACACTTGTTCTTGTCGCTTCTTTCATTGTCAAGAGGGACAATATAGTCGCAAGTATTTCATCTGGCAATTCACTAATCCGGTCCTCCATATAATAATCCCATTTATCAAGCTAATCATAGTAAACAAAGAGCAAATTACCATGATGATGACATTAAAGCACCATAAATGAAAACAAATATCTTCAAATACTTTGTTAAAACATATTGAAGATTGATAATCGATAACAATTTATAAACAACATGCAAATTCAAAAAAATATAATAAATAGAATGAGACATTAAAGGCAGGTAAATCACAACTTTCAGGATGGGGTGCTTCCAGTTAGGTGTTCCATTGCTGTTTACAAAGCTCGAGTCTGAAAATTGTTTTGAGTTAGTGGAAAATTTTACCTCTAGAGATAAGTTTTGGTGCATCAGGTATCTCTCATTTGCTGGCAGATTGCAACTACATAATGCTGTCCTCATCTCTATTCAAGTGTATTTGTCTTCTGTCTTTGTCCTTCCAAAAAAAAGTCATCAAGCAAATCAATGATGCTCGTGGGAACTTTCTTTCGAATGGTGGGGATCTCAATAGAGGGCATGCTAAAATACCATGGAATTATATGAAAAGTTTAGTTTCTTGAAACAGAGCTGCTATAGCTAAGCATATATGAGATTTACTGCAGAATGAACCTCAAGTCTCTGTGGACTCAATGGGTCTAAATCTAACCAAAGAAAGTCAAAATGGAATTTGATAATGGTGCAATAGGAGAAGAGCATAAGGCTTTCTCCTTTTACTGAAACTTCTTATAAAGAAAACTGCGGAGGTGGGTCCTTCGGGGCAAAAGGAAGAACTTTCGGGCCTAAACATTCCTCGGGATTGTACATGGACATGGAGGAAGTTATTAAATTTTAGAAGCTATTTTAGAATGGACTGTGTGTACAAAATTAGGAATGGTGAGCATACTTCTTTATGGTATTGGCTTCAAATAGTGGTTTTGACACTTCGGCTAGTAATTTGCCAATATTATCCAACACTGATTCTTTTGATCAGCTTGTTTGGATTCCCACTAATAGTGCTTTTTCCATTATTAATAGCCATCTACTCCACAAGTTTAAGCTATTGGAGACGGTGCAATTTTAATATTTATATCATTCAACACACCCCCTCACGTGTGGCCTTCTTCGTGTTTTTCAATTTTTAAGTAGGTCGACGATAATGTTTGAACTTGAGACATTTGGCTCTGTCACTCTGATACCATGTTAACAACTATCTACTCCAAAAGTTTAAAATATTGGAAAGGGTGCAATTTTAATTTTTATATCCTTCTAACATCCATTAAGTCAGCCTAGCTGGGATAGGATCAGACCTAAGAATAGTAAGGTTGTTTGGTTTGATCTTATTTGGTTTGGTAAAGCAATTCTGAAGCATTCCCTCGTGGTATAATCGGCCATTCAAGACAGGTTGCTAACCAAACAGAGAATGATAAGGATGGTGTTAATTTATGATGCTAAGTGTGTTTTTGGAGAGAGTATATTGAAGACAGAAATCACCTTCTTTTTTTCTTGTTTTTTTTGGAGCAACTTTACTCGAGACATTGGCATTCTGTTTCTTGGGCTTAATGATTTAAAACAAAAACTTAATAATTGAAAACAAGTGTAAATGAATACTTATAACCAACTTCTTTTTGCAATTTCTTAAGAAATTTCTAGTTCGACAACTCTTGGGCTCCAAGGAATCGGGTGTTGAAATAGAAATGTAACCTCATGAGAGAGTAGTTGGGTGTGTGAAGGTCTCAAATCCTCCACCTCACACAGACCGTGGAGATGGGGTTAATGGTTGGTGGAGCTGAAAAACCCGAATAGCGAGCGGGAGGTTGTGGTACATGGGAAAGGGTCGGGCATCAACCTCCATAACCTAAAGTGGAGTTGTCTAAACGGTCTGGAATTGATTTCTACTGTGGTAATTTATCTACATAACTGAGTAGTTAAATCTCTTATCATCCAAGGATGTAAGTCAGATTGTGTCAAAGTATGTTAAATCTACGTAACTGAGCAGTTAAATCTCTTATCCTCCATGCATGTAAGCCAGATTGTGTCGAACTACATTAAATCTCGTAGTTATGTGCGATTTCTTCTTGTTTGTGAATGGATCTGCATATTCCATTGTCCTAATAGTATATACTTTGTTCAAACATATTGAGGATCAACAATATAATGCATGAATTTAAAACCGAAATAGAAATAGAAATAAAATAAATAAATAAATAGCATGAAAGCCTTGGCTTGAATGGTATGGCTTCCCAGATGGGAGGTTAAGGGTTCAATCCCTAGTGAGGATGTGAAACACAAATAAATAAATATGAGATTGAAACAAATGCAATATATTAAACACAAACCCAATGAAAAAATAAAATAGAATAAAATTGTAATAGTTATAATTTTATATATATATATATATATATATATATATATATATATATATATTTTGTGCAATTTCAAGGCTTGATCTAGCTTCACTCCTTTGAAATTTGGTAGAACTTTGTGAAGCAAAGTTAAAAAGCTCGTCAAGGCCGTCGATTTGATAGGAGCCAATCACCATTTGGCCAAGCCTAGGGATTCCGAAATTAGGGCTTGGATTTGGGGATTTGGGGGATTTTCACTTCCATTGAGGTGGGGGTGCTCTAATCCACTATTTCTTGGATTTTTTTTTTTGTAGATTTTCACCTTTAATTTGACTTGAAGCATGCTTAATTTTAATTTTTGTGATTATGTTTGTTAGGGTTATTTATATTGATGGTGATAAAAGTGTGTTATGTGTCAGTTGGGCTTATTAGTATGATAATTTTTAACTTGTAAAGAAGCATGCTTAGTGTTGGTTTGTTTTCATGATTTCAATTGATATGAAAATTCATGTTATAATTATGGAAATAATTTTGTGAATTGTATATTTAAATTGCTATCAAAATGTCGGATAGAATTTGAGTTGTGTATTTTTAGTAATTTATTAATTTAATTGAAAAAGTATGTGGGAACATTATAGTTGAATTGATGAAATGAAGCATGAAGTATTCATGCATCCATTGGGGAAGAAATAGGGGGAAAAATGTTTTAAAATAAATGAATTTATTTTTGGGAAAAATATTTTTTTTAAAGGAGTTTGCGAAAATCGGACGCCTAGGAGGCGCCTAGTGGTCCGTATTGTTAGTGTAGTCTAGAAGGGAGTATGGTTTAGCTAACTAGGCCGGATGCGACGCCTTGGAGGTGCCTTGTGGTCGTGGATAGTTAGTCAACCCTCCATTCGTGACGCCTTGGAGGTGCCTTGGGTCGGATTACACTAACGGTTTGGTTGTTGAAACGGAATTGTTTTGGAAATGGGGAACGACATTTGCATAACATTGCACTTCATGGCATTTTAGTAAATCTGCGATTGGTTGACATTTGCTACATATTTGTTGTTGTGGTTGAGAATATGTTTTCCCCATGGTATGACCCCATTTCTTTTTTACCTCTTCCTTATGTGGATTCACGGGGTCATAAGAAGCGTGTTTTAGACACTTCCTACTGAGCTTATGCTCACCCCATTATTTTTAAC